GTGTGTGTGTGTGTTAGAGTATGTGTGTGTGTGTGTGTGTTAGAGAGTGTGTGTGTGTTAGAGTGTGTGTGTGTGTGTGTGTTCTGGAAGCATGTGAGATTAGCACATATGTACTCAGACAATGGCGTATTTGCACATTGAAACATAACATTTCAGCTGTATTAAAGCACAGAGAGTACGAGTTTCAGATCAGCGTCGATCACTTGTTGATTAAAGACACAGTACATTAATTTCTCATCACGGCGACATTTAATTCGACACAACAGGACTCATTTCTCACCAGTTTGATCGCGATCGGTTCGCAGAATCAGCGCTCTGTCAACAAGCTGCTGCCCGGATGTGACGTCACGCCGCTTCCGACAGAAAATAAAAGTCTTGTAAATACCATATATAAACTTTTCTTATAAATACATGCAGTTATGTGTAAATTATAAGTTGTCGCGTAGTGTCTCTGGAATGCATATTTATAAATGCATACGCTCTATCGTTACATATCGTATACGTAATCATTTAGTTAAACATATAATACATTTCAGATTAAATGTATACTTAAATCATCGTTGAATTTTGATTAAATAAAATTTTTATTTATGAAAATACTTTAATATACTAATTTTAAAAAATCTAATATAAAGCTAGACATATACACGTACGTTTCTATCCCTGCCCTGACTATTTATTGATTTATGTATTTATTTATTTGTATGTTTTTTTCTTGCTCATTTGGGGGTACTGCAAGTTTCATTTTCACGTAAATAATTATTAATTCAAACCACCAGTGTAGCAGTAATAGGGACATTTTAATATCAATATATGCCAAACATAAATGTGTAGAAGTTTAAGTCTGTTCAATTATGTAAAGATAATTTAAAATCTATATATATATTATATAACTTTATATAACTTTTTTTTGGAGCAGATCATGTTATTTTGTTTTTCTTTTAGTATATGTAACTTTAGTAATAATAATAATAATAATAATAATAGGCTATATGCTCTTTATTTTTGTCTCATTGAGGTAATTCGCTCTATAAGGTTAACCTAGTAACACGATGAAAGAGTACACACAGTGAATATTAATTATGAAATATCAAATATAGTAAAGTTTTTCTCGCTTCCGTTATTACAGAACAATCATATCCTCATGAGAACCAGAAAAAAATAAATGTTTCATGATTTTTTTTAATGTCATTACATTGGTTGGAGCATAAGAGACAAATGGAGAAAAATATTGTTGAAAAAAAAAATATGTATATTTTATTAATATTTTCTTTAGAGGACGCCAGGACTGAGTTATATACATTATATATATATATATATATAATTATTTTTTTTTCATTTACCAATCAGTTTTTAGGTTTCAGGCTGATTTTAAGACAAACCATTTAAATGATAATTACCAAACATGATCATATTTCCCAAAGCGTGCTACATTTGATAATTCATATTTAAAGACCAACATTTGCTATCCATAAAAAGCCCTGCATGTGCTCTGAACGGGACACCCAGACTAACACGGCGGTCTCCGGGGTCCCGGGAATGAACGAGTGCTCCGGTGTACCGGAACCGCTGGCCGTGACGTCACGCGAGCGGACCGAGGAGTGGCTGCGCTTTCCGCCGCAGTCTGAGTCTTCTGCCGAGCTCGGGCGCTTTGTCCTCGTCTGACTCCGCTGCTGGGATGGTGAGTTCAGTAGCATGCCTCCGAATGCATCTTTCACAGAGACCCGCGTCGAGTCGGGAGGAAACTCGGTTCGGTTTGTGTAAACGGTGCTCGGGAACAGCGCGCTCTTAGGAAAACTGCGGGATTTGTTGGGAAAAGAGCCAGAGCCGCTCGGGATGTGTTGCTTTCGAGCAGAGCTGGAGATTCAAAGTTCCCTACAGTTCAGAAAATAGCGCTCTGATAGCGTGGCGGCTTTTATCCGGGTCCGGGTCGTGTTTTGTGGATAAAGCAGCTGAGCTCGACTGGATCCAGGGTTTGAGATGTTCTGCTGGAGAGCCTGAGCTGGACTTCAGCTTCTCACACTGATGACATTCCCAGCTGATCTGCAGCCGGTGCTCTGAACTTCT